AATGGAGTCTGAAAAATCAGTTCTCCGTCTCAATATTTGCAAACTGGCATTTCAATGGATATTTTCTTATTGTTGAAACAAAAATTTGAAAATTAGACTCTTGCTTATCGTTGCTTTGATGATCTCCGATCAATTCCTTAGATAGGAATATAGGGATCAATGGCCAAGTGATGTAGGACTGGAGAACCCAATAGAAAAAAAAAATTCTAAACTAAAATCAAATGAGAAGAAATACATTTTATCTTGATATAGTACCTCAGAAGTGCTGAATAACCAAGAGTGATCATTTATAAGTGTTAGGTTTAATTGTAATTGACAATTCTGTGAATAAAAGGATCAAATTGAAAAAGTATAAAAGTCGATAGAAAAAACCGAGTACTTCAAGAAATAGCTAGAGCCATACTTCATGACAAGGGGATGGCAATTCATTTATGGGAAGAAGCCATTACCACTATACGTCACATAGTTAATAGAGTATATTTTCAACCTAAAATGGATAAGACCCCTTATGAGATTTTTGAAGGGTAAAAAATCTACTGTAAAATACTTTCGCGTGTTTGGCAACAAGTACTACATTTTAAGGGACAGAGAGAACTTGGGTGTAAGTTTGATTCAAAGAGTGATGAGGGGATCTTCCTAGGATACTCTAGGAACAATAGAGCTTATCGAATATACAATTCGCTCCAACACCTATTCAACCCCACCCCCCTTGTTCTAGGCGTTATTTGGATCGAACTACATTTTATAAGGAATATAGGTTAGTGCACAAACTCCAGAAATCGAGGATAATTGCGCACAACATAAATCCTGCAATCTAATAATTAATTGAAGGACAACAATCCATTTCTTACATATTTTCTACTGTTGATTTTGAAATTGGACAGGTCTTTCCCTCATTCGGTTTATCAGCATTTGCTTTTTCAATTAATGCGATTTTTCAGTGTGAGAAAGAGTGCAGGGAGTCAGGCGCCATGGCGCCCGATTCATTCTATATATAGCTGGTGTTTTTCCCCTTCATAAGAAAATCCATTTTTTGGAGAGAAAAGTGAGAGGGCTTGGATTGAATTTAACAAGTAAGAGGTTGTTCTTCTTGGGTATAAATTCAAAGCTATTTTCTTTTCTTGGGGATTAACTTGAGGCTTGTACAAGTAATCCAATCCATTGTTCTTCATTTATATATTGAAAATCATTTCTTCCCCATTTTCTTGTTCTTCAAGTGGTTTGGAAATTTTCACATTGTCAAGCTTAATTTCTTGGTTGAAAACAGAACAGGAAAGAAATTGAAGACACTGCGATCTGATAACGGTACTGAGTATACAGATGGTGCTTTCAAGGAGTTCTGTGGTAAGGAAGGCATTGTGAAACACTGGACAGTTAGAAATACACCGCAACAGAATGGGGTGGCGGAAAGACTGAATTGCACATTTCAAGAGAAATCGATGTGTATGCGATCCTATGCTGGTTTGGGCAGAGAATGGTGGGCAGAGTCGGTTGCAAATGCTTGCTACATAGTGAACCGGTCTCCACATTCAAGGTTAGATGGAGATGTACCTTACAGGGTATTGACAGGAGAACATGCAGATTATGAGAAACTCAGAACATTCGGATGCACAGCCTACTATCATGTCAACGAGGGAAAGCTCGATGCGAGGGCCAAGAAGGCTATATTCTTGGGGTATGCAGCAGGTGTTAAAGGCTATTGCCTTTGGTGTGTAGAGGATTCTAAGTTCATAATCAGCAGAGATGTTACTTTTGATGAGAACTCCATGATAGCTTCGTTGAAAGCTATAGTGCCCGGTTGTGATGATGTTGAGACTATAATGTCTCAAGTTGTTGAGATAGAACCTAGAGATCAATCTGATTCTAGGCATGTTCAAGAGGAGCATCATACAGACACTCAAGATGAGAGTGATGATGGGCTTGAACAAGAGGCAGTTCAGCAAGAGAATATACAAGCACAGCAACAACAACAGCTTGCAGACAACTTGGCTTCTTCTAGGCCACGCCGTATTTACAAGTAAGTTCTAAAGTTGGGGTCAGATGAGCCTTTGAGGCACTATGGGCAAACAAATTTGGTTGAGTATGCACTCTCGGTGGAGGATGATGAGCCTACCACTTTCAAGGAAGCTATTTTAAACAACAATAGCGAGAGTTGGTTGGCGACAATGGAAGAAGAGATGGAATCACTTCACAAGAACCAAATATGGGAGGTTGTCCCATTACCTATAGGTAAGAAAGCTATTGGTTGCAAGTGATTGTATAAAAAGAAGGAGAATCCTACCAAGCTCGGTGGTACAAAATTCAAAGCAAGGTTAGTGGCTAAGGGGTTTGCACAAAGAGAGGGAGTTGACTACAATGAGATTTTTTCTCCGGTGGTCAAGCACACTTCCATTCGGGTGCTATTGAGTATTGTTGCTCATCATGATTTTGAGCTGGAACAACTCGATGTCAAAATCGCTTTCTTGCACGGGGACTTGGATGAGGAGATCTATATGCATCAACCTGAGGGCTACAAGGTTGAAGATAAGGAACGTCAGGTATGTCACTTGAGAAAATCACTATATGGATTGAAGTAATCTCCTCGGCAGTGGTACAAGCGTTTTGACTCCTTCATGCTAATGCATGGTTTCTCCAGAAGTAAGTATGACTGTTGTGTTTATATTCGGAAACTTCAGGGAGGTAACTATATCTATCTTCTTCTATACGTGGATGACATGCTTATCGCTTCGAAAAGCAAGGTGGAGATAGATAAGTTGAAATCCCAACTTGGTAAAGAGTTTGAGATGAAGGATATGGGGGCTGCTAGGAAAATACTGGGTATGGAGATCAGAAGAGAGAGGATGAACCGGCGAATGTTCTTGAGTCAGAAAGGCTACATTGAGCGGGTTATTGCTAGGTTCGGGTTGCAAGGTGCAAAGTCGGTGGTAACTCCATTGGCTCCACATTTCAGTCTCTCTGGTAAACAGTCTCCTACTACAGCGGAAGAAAAGGTACGCATGGATCGTATGCCTTATGCTAGTGCAGTTGGCAGTTTGATGTATGCCATGGTGTGTACACGCCCAGATATTTTACAGGCGGTGAGTGTGGTCAGTAGATTCATGGCGAATCCGGGGAAGGCACACTGGGAAGCTGTGAAGTGGATCCTGAGGTACTTAAAAGGTACCGCGGATACGGGTCTATATTTTGGTGGAGATGCATGTCATATAAGTGGGTTTGTGGACTCGGATTATGCAGGTGATCTAGATAGACGGCGATCTACTACTGGATATGTGTTTTGCATACATGGTGCCCCAGTTAGTTGACGATCGATGTTATAGGCTACAGTTGCTCTTTCTACTACAGAGGCCGAGTATATGGCCATGGCAGAGGGAGTGAAGGAAGCATTGTGGTTGTGGGGTCTTCTAGATGATTTGGGGATTGAGTAGGATTGTGTGGACTTGTGGTGTGATAGCCAGAGTGCGATTCACTTGGCTAAGAATCAGGTTCATCATGCTTGAACCAAGCATATCGACGTCAGGTATCATTTTGTGCGTGATGTCATAGAGGAAGGTGATATTTCACTCTCGAAGGTACACACAAATGAGAACCCAGCTGACATGTTAACCAAAGTGGTAACGGGTAGCAAGTTTCAACATTGCTTGGACTTACTTCACATTAGTCCATGTTGATATGCCCGAGAGGGCATGGCCCTTCGAGGCGGGGTTGAAATGAGGTGGAGAGTTTATGAAGGTGGAGGTGAACTACGGAGGCTTGATCCCGAGATTTGGGTACGTAGGCAACCATGGTTTGAATGGTGCAGTCGAGTTTGGCGCTTGTTGCTTCTTCTTGTGTTCGTCCAAAATTTGATGTCGATCAAATGATGTACGAGGTGGAGAATTGTGAGAAAGAGTGCATGGAGTCAGGCGCCATGATTGGGCGCCATGGCGCCCAAAGTATGAAAAATGGTCCAGTGATGCAGGCGCTATGACGCCCATGGTTCTGATCGATCTTGGCGCCATGGCGCCCGATTCATTCTATATATAGCTGGTGTTTTTCCCCTTCATAAGAAAACCCGTTTTTTGGAGAGAAAAGTGAGAGAGCTTGGATTGAATTTAACAAGTAAGAGGTTGTTCTTCTTGGGTATAAATTCAAAGCTATTTTCTTTTCTTGGGGATTAACTTGAGGCTTGTTCAAGTAATCCAATCCATTGTTCTTCATTTATATATTGAAAATCATTTCTTCCCCATTTTCTTGTTCTTCAAGTGGTTTGGAAATTTTCACATTGTCAAGCTTAATTTCTTGGGCAATCTTTGGGAGGTCATTTTCCCAACATTCAGTTTACAACTGAAGTAATGGCCTTCGGTTCTTTCTGTCACCTTAGTTGATTATTATGGAGGTAATAACGTCACCCAAAAAAAGGGGGAAGGATGCTCTCAAACCATTAGGAAGGGGTTTGAGATCAGATGTCAAAGAGTTCGATGTAGAGATTCGTATAGTTCTTGAACCTATAGCAGCAGAACTTCAAGCATTATCATGGATTACAGTAAGTTCAGCGTACTTGGAAAGAAGATCGGCTTTGCCTTTCCATTGTGATATGGTTTTAATACTAAGAAGACTTCAACATTTTGCTGATAAAGCACTTTCTCGGCTTCCAGAGAAGGCACAACCGTAAAGCTGTCAACGTTCAATACATTCTCAAGTCTATACTGTGCTCGGTCAGTCTTATTTATGTGTATAATTAGTTGTAGGAGTAATTTAATCAGACCTACTGGATGTTGGCCACCCACCTAGGGTATTAGTGATATTGTGTTGAACTAAATTGATTGAACTAAATTTCGTTTTCTGGCAAATACTCGTGTCTTCAATGGATGTTGTCGAATGTACTGCTATCCATTTTTCTTTTTTTCCGTTTTATTATATATTTGTATTTGTATTTCGAAGCAATGTTGTTTTTCATTTGTCTATTTGGTTTACATATTCTGTTTTCCTCGTGATGAAAATACACAATTATAGAAGAAAAGTGTAACAATAAGAAAACAATCAATTCCAATGAGTTCCGTTCACATACAGATTTTTTACAAACTAGAAGCTGAGAAATGATGGATCAGCCTTCCATATTCTATTCACACACAAATACTAGAATTCAGAACATGGGTATTACTAACAACAAACAAACGACACTCGGACGGGGATTTCCAGTAGGGTTAACTACTAGTACAGTCTCTGGCCCAAAAAAAAAAATAATAATAATAAAAATAATTTACGAATGAGCAAATCTCTTGACGATCATGGCCATGTACTTCCCTTGGTGCTCTGCAAGAGCAAGTTCGGATTCATTTGGTGGCCTCGTGCCATCCCCTGAGAAAACTCCGGCCCCATAAGGCGAACCTCCTCTAATAGAATCCATTTTAAACATCCCTGCGCCAAAGGTGTATCCAATTGGAACATAGATCATACCATGATGGGCTAATTGTGTTATTGCTGTCCATCTGCAAATCGGAACATGATCAATAAGGATTAATCTATTTTCACAAAAGAAAGATGAAAGAGAGGTTGACTGATGTGTATATTGTAATAAATAAGTAGATGAAAAAGTACTGTTTTTAAAACTGTCCAATAATAAAATGTCTCGTTACAATGTGGCATGATTGTGATCAGTAATTCCCTCGCTAACTGGACAATCATAAAGCCGATACATCCAAAACCAACTCTATTAATGAGATCAATATGAATGAATCGAGTGACGTTGCTTCTTTCTCTATGGAAAATTAGAATAGACTTACGCAGTGGTTTCTTGTCCGCCTCCTTGTGTTCCGGTGCTGACAAAGAACCCAGCAGGGATTCCAGCAAGTTTCTGCTCACTCCACAAATTCCCGGTGGAATCGAAAAATGCCTTCATTTGTGCAGCCATGGAGCCGTACCTCGTGGGAAACCCGAATAAAAAACCATCGGCTTCGACCAACTTGTCGACCGATATCACCGGAATCTCGTCCCCTTTAGAGGGCACCTTCATTTGCTCCAAAACCTCTGGTGCCAAAATCTCTGGAGCCCTATACAAAATCCCTTCAACACCTTCAATCCCATCAACCCCTTTCTTCATCCTCTTGGCCAGGCCCTCTATATGTCCATACATTGAATAAAACACTATGAATATTCTCAATTTCTTGGTGGTTTCCTGCTGAATCACTCCATCCTGAATTGGGGCTGATGTTTCAATTCTAGGGTTTTCACCTACAATTGAGATGGATCTATCACTCACTGGAGCTGGTCCATCATGATCAGGTGTACCCAACGGTGTCCTGTTTTTACTTGGCATACACCCTCCTCCTTTACCCATATAATCCAAGAATCAATCTTTACCTAATTTTCCTCGAAAATCTCCGAAGTTGCCCAATATTGTAAGATGATTCTTGGAAGAAATGATGAACAGAAGTTGTTGTTAAGATGACTTTAATTTGGGCTTCGCTGGCAGCTTTGGTCAAACTGAGAGCTATGATGCTGTTGTTTTTCTCATTATATGTAAGAATAGTTGTCAGCTATGTCATCCCTCCCACAAAATAATACTTTTATACAGCCTGTTCTTTTCTGTTCTTTGATTAAGAAATAAGAACACCACCCGTTTCCCTTCAGTTAACATGTTGACATTGATGGGTTGTTTGACAAAATTTTCGAAAAAAGTTTTAGTAAATTTTGAAAAAATGTTGATGTAATTTACAGTTAAAAAGTTGTCGATTTCCATGAAATGTGTGATTATTCATTCTTTAGTAAGTTTTGAAAAAATGTTGATGTAATTTACGGTTGAAAAGTTGTCGATTTCCATGAAATGTGTGATTATTCATTCTCTTCGGAGATGCTATGCTTCCTTAAATGCTAAGGCAAAACAAATGAAGAAGGAAACTCGTGGGCTTAATTCCGACTTGAAGCAGCTTGCTAACTCTTGTATGTAGATCAGTGAAGAGAACAAGTTATTATTGGTTTGCTCACTGCTCGTTTTCACTATTTTTCACTTGTTTTTTACTGGTTTGGTAGCACAAATTAGATAACATTGTCCAATTTTACATACCAAATGTGCGCTAACGGCATTTCTGCATGAATATAATAACATTTGTGTTACTAAATGGATAAATTTGATAATGCTGGATGATCTAAAGTAGATATGTGCACCAAATGTAAATGTTCTCATCACAAGATTATTGTGACGGCTATCTAGTCATGCGATGCTTGACTCAACTCTTGACCGTACGTAATGACAGCACTTTGGTAATCTGGTTTATTATCTTGAAGTAAGAATTACAGTGATGGTTGTTCAAAAACAATTATGAAGATGGGGATTGAAAGGGCGGTGGAACAACACACTTCTGTTTGCCCGGTAGTATTTGGCGTTTCCACTACTCCGTCAAATATGCAAGACCTGAAAAATGAAGACGGGGCTTTCTCCCTCGTTTTACTTTCGGCGTGAGAATTAGTTTTTAAACTTGGAAGAAACATATTTGAAATTCAGATGGCTAAAACGAGAATGAGAGAAAAATCCTTTACCTGTGTCACATCCGGGGGTATTTATAGATATTAGGCATTGGGTAACCGCTGGGTGATTGTGGTGCCACGTGTCCCACGTTGGTATTCCCACTACACCCGCGTTCTGAGTGAGGAGTCCTTAACTTCCCGCGCTGAAGATTGTACCTGTATCAGCGGCCATGGAACCTGGTCAATTCATTAAAGGTTTTATGGCTAAGTGTTTGGACAAGCAATATCATGCCCGTTGAGGACTTCGCTTAGAGTAGAATGATTTCTAGGGATAGTGATAGAGCGCCTCCCGGGCGTAGTGGTAAAACGCCTTCTGGGGGTTGTGGTAGAGCGCCCCCTAGGAGAAGTGGTAGAACGCCTTCTGGGGGTTGTGGTAGAGCGCCCCCTGGGCGTGGTGGTAGAACGTTCCTCCCGGCGTATTGGTAGAACGCCCTATGGGGGTCGATGGCCTTGCATCGGAGTGCTGTGATCTGCCTTGCTTGTCATTGAGAGTAGCTACTTCTACCAACCTATATCATTAGCCCCCTACCCCTTGTCGATGTTTTCGGCAAGGGGTAGCAATTTTAGGTTGGTTTGAAAGTTTTTTTTTTTTTTTATGAGAAAGGAATAGTTCGTATTAGCAAATCGAACCATATAAACACGATCGAGTGGCAACTCTACTGTACACATGGCTCCTCACCAATGGTCTTAATGTTGGAGGGAAATTTCCCTCCAATTCACCCCCCCCCCAAAGTTTGAATTCTAGTGTTATAAAAGGGGGTAATTCTTATTCTAGAGAATCACTTTCATTTTCTCTCAACATCTTAGGCTTCCTCTCTTCTAAGGTAATTTTCTCTCCTTTTTTAAATCCAATGTCTTGTTTTAAATTTCTTCTCTTCATCTTCTTTGTTGTCATGTATAAAACTATTCTTTCTTCTCCTTCCAATGAAAAAGGTGATGGGGGGTGTAGTGATTCGACCGGACCTTTGTCGGAGGGAGTCCGACCGACCCACGGGGAGCCGATCATCGACCAGCCCGAAGGCTGGCCATCCCCCGCCACCCACTAAGACCCGTGGCTTGTCCGGTCCTTCGATCTGCCCTTGTAGTGACTCGCCCCCTTCATTCGGCAGATACGTTTATGATATTGATAGTGAAACTCATTCAATTGATTCTCAGCCGTTTGTTCCAAATCTCCCGAAGAGACACATCGGTTCTTCTAAATCTCCAAACCAAAATTTAGAAATCGAGCGTGACCCGGCCGGTGAGGTTATCCCCCTAGATATCCCAAAAAGTTATAGTCTCTACAATTCGCCACTTAAGTTGGAAAAATGTCTAGATAAGTATGACCGGGTTGATGATTACGTCTATAGAGCCCCCGGTCCTAAAGAAAGGCTCCCCGAGTCTGACCCCCGTGAGATAGCCGTGTACAAGGATGTTATGGACGGGGGTTTTTGGTTCCCCATTTATCCCTTTTTTGTGTCGATTTTCAACGAGTTCCACCTTACTCCTAGTCAAATTAATCCTAATGCATGGAGAAAAACGTTATATTTTCTGTATGTCTGTCTCAAAAAGGGAATTTCACCTTCCATGGATCTTTTCAGGTGTGTCTTCGAAATGCATGAGCTAGTTCAATGTAATGCATTTGTCTGTTTTACCACTAGGGTATCTTTGAAATTCCCTAAGTTTAGGAATTCGAATAGCGGATGGAAGTCTCGATTTTTCTTCGTCCGGCCTTCAAAGGGTCAGTTCTCTTTTAACACAAACTGGCGACACCCCCAAATTCGTCTCTTCAATAGCCAAGTAGAAGTTACTCCCTTTCTAGAAGCTCAAATCCAGGACTTGGTTGATGTACCGCCTTTTGCACCTGACTTAGGGTCAGTCCTAACCATGAAGAACATGTTGAAAGTGGGGATGAGTCGCCCAATCAGTAGGTCATTTATGTTGTTTTTCTTTTTCTTTTTTTATCGCATGCACACACGTTCATTTATTATTTTTGCCTTTAGTTCGTCGAGACTAATGAGTTTGGATGTGTGTTTCAGGTATGGACTTTGATCTTGATGAGGTATTGAAGACTCTGCCAGGAGGAGATGAGGGCCTTACCCTCGTTGATGGTAAGCTTTCATGTTCCCCCCCCCCCCCCCTCCCTTTTTTTTTTTTTGTACTCTACCTTGTGGTCTTTACCGATTTCAACTTACATGTACACGGGCCGAGCTTGATCTGGAAGGAGTTATGGATTCCATGCCTGACCAGGGGCAAGAGGGTGAGGTGGATCCTTCGCCTATCCCTTCAAAGAGAAGGAGGGGGGCGACCTTGGGAGAAAGTCTCAGGCGATCAATGAGACTTCTCAGCCTTCAGATGAGCTTCGTGATGTGGCTCCAACTCTTAGGCCGGGAGCTCACAGTCGTGCACATTGTGAGCGCGAGGACTTGCTTCCTAACTTTGGGTTTCCTCCCACCCGGGGCTATCATGAGATGGGGGTGCTTAAGCCGTTGGTGACCCCCGCTCGATCCAGAGCGATTGCAGGGCGCAGCGTAGATGACATTGAAAGGGCTGCGGCTGTTTACCTCCAGAGGGTATGTTTCCCATTTCGAGATTTCTTTTATGTTGGATCTCGCCTTTTAAGTTAGGTTTTAACTCGTGGTTTCATTCTTTTTCCCCCTATACATTTTTCTTTTTTAGGTGGTGGCCCTCCAGACCGGACTCGCTGAGTCAAATCGCCGCCTGGTCTCAGAGCTGAAAACTCTTACTGAAGAAAAGAAAAAGGAGGCTCATCACCACAAGAAGAAAATATCCTCCTTGAGGAGATCTCTGGAGACGTCGGACGCTCGAGCTCGTGAGCAGCAGACGGAGATCGACAACCTACGTTCTGTTTTGGCTCGTGCTCCTGAAGAGGCGATTGAGAGGTATAAGGCCTCAGATGAATACGCTGGAGATCTCAAGGAGTCTGTGGATCAGTATAAGACATCGTCCGATTATGCTAAGGCTTTGAACTCATACGAGGGGAAGGCGATGTCAGCGTCAATTAAGCTCTCCAAGGAGTGGATTATGGCCGAACATCCTTCTATAGACCCCTCCGGTCTGGATAGATTTCTTGCACAGCGCAAGGGGAAGGAGAGTGTAGCTCAGTCATCCAGATCACTCGGTCGTTCATCACAAGGTGGTAGTGGGGATGTCTCCCCTTCGAGTTGAAGCATTTCTTAGTTGTTGTTTTCTTTGCTAGTTTTTCCTTTTTAGTGTTTACTTTTGTTTAGCCTTGTTATCTCCTACTTGCTCGGGATGTGGGCAAGAATTCTTCGAATGTATAAACACGTCTTTCATTTGATATCATTGGCGCTGGATGCGTGGTTCCTTTAAATTGTCGTCTCTCATGTTATTTTTCTTTTTACTGCTTGATGGTGCGGGGGAGTGTTCTGCCTAGTCGCGTAGGCTACGTCGACTGCAGGGGGTGATTTGGTGATTAAGAGACTTAGCCAATTTTTTGACTTTTCAAGACTTTCCGCCTAGCCGCACAGGCTACGTCGACCGCAGGGGGTGATTTTGTGGTTAAGGGCCTTAGCAAATTTTTTAACTTTTAAAGGCTTTCCGCCTAGCCGCGCATGCTACGTCGACCGCAGGGGGTGATTTGGTGGTTAAGGGCCTTAGCCAATTTTTTGACTTTTCAAGGCTCTCCACCTAGCCGCGTAGGCTACGTCGACCGCAGGGGGTGATTTGGTGGTTAAGGGCCTTAGCCAATTTTTGACTTTTAAAGGCTTTCCGCCTAGCCGAGCAGGCTACGTTCACCGCAGGTGGTGATTTGGTGGTTAAGGGCCTTAGCCAATTTTTTGACTTTTCAAGGCTCTCCACCTAGCCGCGTAGGCTACGTCGACCGCAGGGCTGATTTGATGGTTAAGGGCCTTAGCCAATTTTTTGACTTTCCAAGGCTCTCCACCTAACCGCGTAGGCTACACCGACATCATGTCTTAGTGGGATGAGCGTGGATTTCAAAGTTGTCTGTTGGCATAAAAAATTCCTGGTCTTGTGAGCTCAGTAGGCGCACCGGACGTCCCAGCTAGGCTGGCCCTTCCGTAGCGCCCTCATCATTCGTCACCACCAAGGTCTTTCATTGAATAAGATAAATTGTTACAACTAAGGGTGCCTTCGCGAGGCATTACATAGAGAAAATAAACAATGCAACCTAATCTACTATATTTACAAAAGCACAGCCGGCGCGTACATTTCGAATTCTACTGGTAATACTTTTTGAGGTCTTCTGCATTCCATGGTCTACCTAGCAGCCTTCCTTTCATATCTTTCAAGCTGTAAGCTCCCTTCCCCAGCCTGTGGATTACTTCGTACGGGCCTTCCCAGTTTGGACCAAGCTTTGGTGGGGGGTGTCCTGCCGCTGCTGCATCTCTTAGCACGAGATCTCCTGGCTGAAAGATCCTTGGCTTCACTCTCCGGTTGAAGTACTCAGCGGCTCTTCGTTTATAAGCCATCATTCTTATCGCCGCCTTGTCCCTTACGCCTTTGAGGAGGTCGAGTTCTCCCCTAGTCGTTGCGTCGTCGAGTTGCTTGACTTTCATCCTTCCTGTCTCGCTTAAGATCTCAACCGGAACCACGGCTTCCATCCCAAAGGCCAGTTTGAATGGCATCTCCCCGGTCGATTCTCGGGGGGTAGTGTGATATGCCCATAGTACATTGGGCAACTCCTCAGCCCAAAGTCCTTTTTCTTTTTCCAACCTTGTCTTCAAATCCCATAGTATGGTTCGGTTGGTCACTTCAGCCTGTCCATTTGCCTGTGGATGAGCAACTGAAGTCAGCCTGTGGTCGATGTGGTAACTTGTGCAGAAGGCTCTAAAACTGTGATTATCGAATTGTTTTCCATTATCTGTAATGATTACCCGAGGTAAACCAAACCTGCATATGATATTTTTCCAGACGAATCCCTGTATCTTTGTAGTCGTGATGGTGGCCAAGGGCTCAGCTTCCACCCACTTAGTAAAATAGTCTACGGAAACTAACAAGAACTTCCTTTTTCCTTTAGATAGGGGCAAAGGTCCCAAGATGTCCATCCCCCATTGGAAGAAGGGACACACCCTGAAAACTGCCGTCTGTTGCTCGGTTGGAATGTGGATCAGATTTCCATGGCGTTGGCATGCATCATATTTTCCCACGAACTCTCTAGCATCTTCCTTCATACTAGGCCAATAATATCTTTGTCGAAGCGTCTTGAACGCAAGGGTAGTCGCCCCTTGGTGGTTGCCACAAATTCCCGCATGTACTTCGACTAGCACCTCCTGTGCTTCTATCGGTCGCAAACACTTCAAATATGGCATTGTGAAACCTCGCTTGTAGAGTAGGCCATCGATAATGGCAAATGAGGCTGCCCGAACTTTTAGCCTTCTTGCTGTGAGAGCATCCTCCGGCAATTTATTCTTTGTGAGATATTCAAACAGCGGGTCTATCCAACTTTCCTCATTCTCTACATTCATAACATCGATTACGTGTTGGATGCTAGGTTGTCGCAGAATTTGCACACTGGCTGTGCGAGGCAGTCGTCTGGGGTTAGCTGATGCGAGATTAGCCAGCGCGTCCGCTCGCTCATTGTCCTTTCGGGAGACCTTAGTTATCTTAAACTTGATGAACCCCTTCTGCAAGTTTTTGACCTCCATTAAATATGAAGCCATCTTTTCGTCCTTTGCTTCGAATTCCCCGTCACTTGCCCGATTATCAACTGAGAGTTGCTGCAAATTTTCACTGAGGTCAAACCCGTGATTACTGCTTCGTACTCGGCCTCATTATTTGTAGCAGGGAATTCAAAATGCAGTGAGTATTCCAACTCTTCCTCATTCGGACCTATCATTATGATCCCCGCCCCGGATCCGTCATCGTTTGAAGATCCATCGACAAAAATTTTCCAATCTGCCTGTTTCCCTGGTGGGTGCTCAGGCGGGGTGGTGAGCTTGACGATGAAGTCTGCTAGAGCCTGTGCTTTAATAGCTGTCCTTGGCCTGAATTCGATATCAAACTCACTTAACTCGATGGCCCATTTCAACAACCTCCCAGAGGTCTCGGGCCGATGTAGAATCTGCTTGATAGGTTGGTCAGTCATTACTTGCACCATGTGAGACTGAAAGTAAGGCCTCAATTCCTGACCGCGACAATTAATGCAAACACCACCTGTTCAGTTAGGCTGTATCTTATCTCTGCGCCCCTCAATACTTGGCTCACATAGTAGACTGGTTTTTGCACCTTTGAGAACTCTTTCACCAGGACCGCGCTGACTGCCTTTGGTGATACTGCCAAGTTTAGACACAACACGTCCCCAGGAGATGGGCTGGTCAAGATCGGGGGCTCTTGTAATGACTGCTTCAAGTTCCTAAGAGACTCTTCGCATTCCTGGGTCCACTCAAAATTGGAGGAGCCCCCTATAGCTTTGAAGAAGTGGTAGCATTTGTCCGCTGCCCGGCTCATGAAACGATTTAAGGCCGCTACCCGCCCCATCAGCCTCTGAACCTCCTTCCTGCTGGTGGGGCTTTTCATTTCTAGGATTGCCCGAATTTTGTTTGGGTTCACTTCGATGCCCCTTTGCGTGATCATGAACCCTAGAAATTTTCCCCCTGCGGTACCAAAAACACACTTATCTGGATTGAACCTTAATTTGTTTTGTCGGGCAACGTCAAACACTTTCTGCAAACAGGCCACATGGTCATCGGCTTTGGCGCTCTTGACCACCATATCGTCAACATAGACTTCTACGACACCTCCAATTAGCCCACGAAAGACTTTGTTCACCATTCTCTGATACGTTGCTCCTACGTTTTTCAAACCAAATGGCATGGCTATGTAACAGTACGTGCCGAAGTCCGTGATAAATGACGTCTTCTCTTGATCGGACTCGGCCATTGAAATTTGATGATACCTTGAAAATGCATCTAGAAAGCTAAGCCTTTCATGACCCGAAGTTGCGTCTACCAGTTGATCTATTCTGGGAAGCGGGTATGAGTCTTTTGGGCATACCTTGTTCAACCCAGTATAATCTACACACATGCGCCATTTTCCGTTTGACTTCTTTACAAGTACAATATTTGCCAACCACTCGGGGTATTGCACCTCTCGGATAAAACCCGCCTGTAGCAATTTTTCCACCTCTGCTCTGGCCGCAGCCTACCTCTCAGGGGCAAGGTTTCTCTTTTTCTGCTTCACTGGCTTAGCCCCTGGCTGGACACCGAGGCGGTGCTGCGCGACAGTTGGGCTAATCCCCGGGATATCCTTTGGGTTCCAAGCGAAGACATCCAAATTACCGGCTAGACACTTCACCAATTTTTCCTTCTCTTCGGATCCCAGGCCTGTTCCAACAAGAAACTCCTTTCCTTTGGCAATAAAGATTTTTTCAATCATATCAAGTGGCTCGATCCGCTCCCTCGGGAGTTCTACATCCAGCATCATGACTAATGGTGGGCTTTTGGCTTGTATACTATCCACATAGCACTTTCTTGATGCATGCTGGTCTCCCCGCACGCTCCCGATCCCCTTGTTGGTTGGGAACTTCATAATTTGATGGTAGGTCGATGGGACCGCGCCAGCTGCATTTAGCAATGGCCGGCCGAAGATAGCGTTGTAAGCCATAGGGGTCTTGACGACCAAGAAATTAGTCACGATCACCACTGTCGCTGGGTATGTCCCAAGCGTGACTGAAAGCTCTACAGTCCCTTCCGGTATCACTGTTGCCCCTCCAAAGCCTTGTAGGGGGGTAGTTACCACCTTCAACTTTTCTTGAGGGATTTTTAGACCCAAGAAGGCATCCCATGTGAGGACATTTGCCGCACTCCCTCTGTCGACTAACACCCTCTTCACGTCAAAATCTGCAATATCGCCTACTATTACTAAGGCGTCATCATGGGGGTGTGTTACTCCAATCAAGTCCTCTTCATCGAAAGTTATACTCTGGTTGAATCTTGCTTTTTTCTAGATAGAGCAGACCCCTACTGAACGCGCATAGCTCTTCCTAGCTGAGTTTGAGTCGCCGCCCGATACTACTCCTCCGATGATCATGTTTATCACTCCTGCCCTTGGTGGGGGTAGACCTTCAACCCTTTGGCTGCCCTTATCGTTTTTCACATACTTTGCAAATAGCCCCCGTCTCAGCAGGCGCTCAATTTCTTCCTTTAACTGTAGGCATTCTTCGGTATCATGCCCGTGATCTCTATGAAAATGGCAGTATTTACTTTGATTTCTCTTGCCCGAAGGGTTAGCATTGGTTTGGGCCATTCGAGCTCCTTCATGTGCTGTATCTCCATCAATAACTTTGTTCGTGGAATGTTCAAAGGGGTGGGTGTCTTGACCTCCTCTCGTTTCTGCCCGACTGATCGATCTGGGCATAACCCTTGCTTGTGTGTTCATTCTTCGGCTTATTTTTATCACTGTGCCTTTGCTCGTCACATGTTTTTCGCTTATGAGCTTCCGTCTCCCTTCCATCCCTGAGATTTTTAGTTACCTTCTCCGCTTCCTCCGCATCGATATACTTGTCTCCCTTCTTTAATAGGTCATGATCGACTCCGGGGGGTTCTTGGAGAGTGACATCTTAAAGGCCTGGTTTCGCGTTCCATTCATCAAGGCTGTAACCACTGCAGACATTTGTAGGTCTCTTATGCCAAGAGTCACCCGACTGAACCTAGCTAAGTATTCCTGCAAGGACTCGTCTTTGTCCTGTACGACCTGCATCAACCCAATGACTATCTTCCTCTTCCTTTTGCTGCTTAGGAAGTAAGCCACAAAGCTCCTGGAGAGCTCATCAAATGACTTGATGGAGCGTGGGGCCAAGGTTGCTACCCATTCCCTAGCCTCCCTCCCGAGTGTGAGGGGAAAGGATCGGCACATCACTGCGTTCGAGGCGGCATAAAGTCTCATCAGATCCATGAAGGTTCGTAGATGGTCGAGCTGGTCCGTGACTCCATCATAGGCTTCAATCATCCCATGATTGAAGCCTTTAGGCAAAGGGATCGCCATGATTTCTAGGGCGAATGGGTCTTCCTCCAAAACCATCTGTCTCCGCCTATCCTTTCTCTTGGACAATGCATCGCCTATCTTTTGGGACATGATTTCTTCCATCTTTCGTTCCAGGTCTACCATAGTTTGCGGGGGCTATTGAGCTACGTTCATTGGGGCTCCCGCGTCTCCCGCTCCCCACTGAGAGATGGGTAGGACAGCTGCGGGTGGCGCTTGAAGCGGTTGTTGATTCGTCACTTCCGTCGGGCTTAAATGAGGGATGGTGGTTCTCTGCGACTGGTCTTGTAAGAGCACCATCATTGCTGTTAACTGGTTCTCCAAAGCGCTGAATTGACTCTGCGTCACATATTGCGGGGGCGGTGGTGGTTCATGACCCCTTGCAACTGACTCCGACTCCGTCTCCGCCGTGTTCCCAACCAGGCGAGTATCACTTCTTGTTCGTCTTCTTGACATGGCTTTTTAGTTCAAATGAGATTCCCACAGACGGCGCCAATGAAAGGGCGGTGGAACAACACCCTTCTGTTTGCCCGATAGTGTTTGGCGTTTTCACCACTCCGTCAAATATGCAAGACCTGAAAAATGAAGGCGATGTTTTCTCCCCCGTTTTACCTCCGGCGTGAGAATTAGTTTTTAGACTTGAAAGAAATATATTTGAGATTCAGATGGCTAAAACGAGAATGAGAGAAAAATCCTTTACCTGTGTCACATCCGAGGGTATTTATAGATATTAGGCACTGGGTAACCGCTGGGTGGTTGTGGTGCCACGTGTCCCACATTGGTATTCCCACTACACCCACGTTTTGAGTGAGGAGTCCTTAACTTCCCGCCTGAAGATTGTACCTGTATCAGCGGCCATGGAACCTGGTCAATTCATTAAAGGTTTTNGTTTTATGGCTAAGTGTTTGGACAAGCAATATCATGCCCGTTGAGGACTTCGCTTAGAGGTAGAATGATTTCTAGGGATAGTGATAGAGCGCCCTTTGGGGGTTGTAGTAGAGCGCCTCCCGGGCGTAGTGGTAAAACGCCTTCTGGGGGTTGAGGTAGAGCGCCCCTTGGGCATAGTGGTAGAACGCCTTCTGGGGGTTGTGGTAGAGCGCCCCCTGGGCGTGGTAGTAGAACGCTCCTCCCGACGTATTGGTAGAACGCCCCATGGGGGTCGATGGTCTTGCATCGGAGTGTTGTGATCTGCCTTGCTTGTCATTGAGAGTGGTTACTTCTACCAACCTATATCAGGGATGAAAGTGTTTTACTTTTTAACACTTTAAATGTACGTGTATTGTTTTAGGTGTTGTCACGTGACTATTGTAGAAACTTGTTGATAACAAGGGTGTTGTAGCATCACGAAAGATGGATGTTGACACATTATTTGGCGAAAGATTATTGTGCGAAAATTATAATTTTAGCCTCTATTTGATTTTGAGTTTACATGAATAATATTTTATTATGAGAACGTTTGACTGTAAATGAATACGAGTGAAAAAAATGATTGTGAAATGAAGACTTAATTCATTAACTTTGTTGAGATAATGAACCATTACAAATAATATTTGAGTCGGATGTACGATTAAACGTACAACTTGGATATTTTTAGGAAATGTGGTGCGTGGACCCATGAATTTATGGTCAAGATGACAAGCACCGTATGCATTCGAAGTTAACTCTTAACTCTTAAGTATGGAATTTCATTATTTTTATTTTAAATAAAAAATTAGAATTTATGAGCAAAAGACCGAAATGTCCCTACTTTACCGCCACTTTTGTACATAATTCTCGCAATTCCTTGCTTAAACCCCTTCGCATACTTTCTCAAAAATTGGAAAATAACCCTTCGCATTGCGTAAAGAAATGAAGAAATTCAATTGAAGACCCATTAATGGGAGGTAATTTCTTCACTATTCATATGATTTTCAAAGATTTTTGTTAGGGTTTATATATTTTTTAAAATTATTGTTGGGTATTGATTTAATCCATATATATTTGTATGTCTTAATGTCCTCAACCTATATTTTATGCTTGTCTTCAGCCTATTTTGAAATATGTGTTAATGGAAGAAATTTTTGAAATTTGCTTTGTTAATGGGAGTTTTGATCGTTGTTTTCTTGATTCTTACTTGAAGGTCGGGAATACGTGGAAAAAAGGAGAAATAGTTTTTTGAACAGTTACTCGGATTAATGATCGCTATTATGAACAGTGACATACAACGATTTTTATTTTATCTTATTTTTTGGTCCTGAAATCTATTTTGACGGCAAATGTTTATGAACGTACAAAATTAGGTTTTTGAATGAGGAATAATGAATGGATTAGCCTATGAGAAGTACTATATAACTTGTTATTAACTTGATCTGGGAATAATTGAGAAATTCTGTAAATCTTGGTGTTATTCCATGATGTAGCTGGGATGTGAAATGTTAGTTGAAGTTCAGGTGTTGATTAACAAAAAAGAAATATGAGTTGAATAAGAAAACTAGCTATTACTGAAATCTAAATTCTGAACTTAGGGGAAAGTTAGAACTGATAACTTTTTCTCTTTTCTTTTCTGTTTGTCATCTTCAAGAAAGTCCTAATAAATCTCTGTTATTTAGAGCATCTAGAAGCCACAAGGAACAGCTTATTTATTCACATTTTGAAACCTCTCAGGCTTGACTCTGTGGCAGGTTAATATTTTTCTCATTAGAGCAGCTCTTTGCAGATGATCCCACGTTTTTGGTCTCTCCTTCTCTCCTTTATTTTTCGAAATTTCAAAAATCTTTTCCTATTTATTTAACGAGTCAAATTGAGATTTCCACCTTCAATGGAGTTGTATCAAACATAATTTTTTTTTTTTAGATTGGTATTCTAGTTAAGAAGAAAAATATAACATCTCTGTCTCTCATCTTTTATTTTCAAATTTCAAAAACATTTTTAAACAGTGCATTCATTGACTCATCGATAGAAGAAAAATATAAATGTCTCTCCCATTCTCTTCACTTTAGTTTTCGAATATCTTTTCACTCAATTCATTTAAATTTTTAAATTGAGATTTCTACCTTCATATTTAAGATTGGCACACATAAAATTTTTAGAGTTGTTATTCTGGGAGAAGAAAAATATAACATGTCTCACTCTCATCTTTTATTTTCAAAATTTCTAAAATCTTTTCAAGCATTGTGTATAATGAGTCTTATAGAAGAAAATATTAATCTCTCTCTCTCTCTCTCTCCACTTTAATTTTCAAATATCTTTTCACTCAATGCATTTAGTGTGTCAAATTGAAGTTTCTACCTTCAGTTAAGATTGGCTTGCATGAAAAAAGTTTAAGTTGTTATTCTAGGGGAAGAAAAATATAACGTGACAGGATTACTGAATATCTTCTTGTGAAATAACGTTATGTGACTTCATAATGAGTTCAAAGGTCAGGATTATGAATATCGTGGTCTTGCAATGATCCTTTTAATTTGTCTAGTCCATGGTATTCCCAGTTGATATTAACACAAAATTAAAGACCATACAATTCATTTAAATTGACAAAAGGAAAGAAATGTCAGTTTAAAATATCTTTTATGTTGCTCTCTATTTGGCACATATTTTTTTTTCTTAATGAACTAGTGTAGGAAGATTTCACCATCTTAAGTTAAACAATTATTATCTGTAGGAGGATTAATGGAAAGTGGAATGGTCCCAACCGTGCCAGCAAAGAAGTCATTGCTTACTCCCAAAGCAATTATACACCAAAAGTTTGGCGATAAGGCCTGCTATAAGGTTGAGGAAGTACAAGAGGAAACTAAAACTGGATGTCTGGGGTTAGCAATTCCCCAGAAGGGTCCCTGCCTTTATCGATGTACCCTGCAACTTCCAGAACTTGTTGTTATCTCTGATACATTTAAAAAGAAAAAGGATGCAGAACAGTCGGCCGCGGAAAAGGCTTTAGAAAAGGTTTGGCATAATGTTATTTTTGTACTTGCTAGATTCTGTCGATGACCATTCAAAAACAACCATCTTAATTAATTTGACTATTATGTAGCTGTGTATCCATCAAAAAGAGTACAATCCCACTGTACAGGAAGCTTGGGATGATTTGGGTGGTCGTCTCTTTGATTTGTTTGCAACTGAGGTATGTGAGATCCACTGTGACAATGCAGTTGACTATGTATTTATTGGTAAAATATCCATTTCACTGATGTTTGAGAAGCAGTGGTGATTCATATTTAGCCTTTGTTTGAGCCCCATTTTTTTACGAAAATGAGTTTTGTAATAATGATTTTTTGGAAAATGTGTCTTGTTAAAAAGTAAGAAAATGTTTTTGGCTTACGTGCAAAATCATTTTATTGGAAGAATGTTTGGTTGAAAATGAGTTTCTAGATAATGGGGCAGGGGCTTAGTTCATGCAATCACTAATCATCAAATAATTTAATTGCTTATACATCAGGAACAGAGGACCACTTCCTTCATAATACCACCTTGTGGGTGGTGTTCCTTCTTGTTTCTAGCGGTTCCTTTAAAACTTTAAAACGTTTCTGTGTTTCTTCTACTGAGCTAAATGTGAGCTAAATGATTTTGTTTGAAACTATCAAGGAAATAGTCATTGCTCAACACAATAGGCACCACAATTGTAATACTGTTCTTCCTTAGTCAATCTAACTTCACTTTTATTCATTTAAGATTTAAGCACTCGTTGTGGAAGGACTAGGGTATAATAGATTGAGCACATCTTTAGAGATGTAAGGGGATATAAAGATTGGAGAGAACTTTTGAGAGAGTGAAGCACTCCCTTTGATAGACTTTGGCTTCTTTTCTAAGTTCCTCTTCTTTTGGGTCCATGATCTTCTTGACTTGTTGGCCTTTTGTCAAAAGTCAATTCATATATTAGGGTATTCTCAATGGCTTTGATGGGACTGTGCAGAGTTTTGTCCTTATTGTGGTTCATAGACATGCCAATTTATCTGTAAGATTTACTATAAACTAACTTTTCCCAGTCTTTCCGTATTTTTCGGCCTTTTATTTTATTTTATTTTATTTTTTCTATCAACAGTTTTATTTTCTGACAGACTTTTCTTCTCTCTTATTCTTCTTGTTTTTTCGCCTGCTTTTCTCTGGCATCGATGAAGTTCCTTTCATCTCATCATCCGCTTAGTGGCCACTTCAGAGCTGCATTGCAAAGAGAGGGTCGCCTCTGTGGTTCTGTTCCAATTTCTGTGATTGCTACCTATGATGCAAAGATTAGTACTATCTGTAAATACATAAATTCAGAGGCTGAATCAAATTTTCTGATAGTGCTGTCACTGGTTCTGAGGGCAGCTTCAAAGCTAGATAATTTAGTGACTTCTGTTGATGAGCAACTTTCACTGCAGAGGAGAAATCCACTACTTCCTGAGATAATACACGCTTTGGTAGATCGGGAATCTAGATTGTCAGAAAGCTTGTCTATAGAAGTGATACGAATCCCATCTTCAGTAGAGAAAACTGTTGAACCCTTGGTTCTTACCATTTCTTCAAACGGTTATTATGTGGATGTTATTGCACAAGAACTTGGAGTGAATGAGGCTTCTAAGGTCTTCATTTCCGGGTAAGCTAAGTGTGCGTGGGTGGCTCCATTTCATGTTTTACTAATCCTTGTTTATCCCATTCCAGACTGTCCTGTTGATTTTCCATGAATGGGATGATATTAGGACATGTTAAATCTTTTCATTGCCTCTTAGAATAGGTCTTATGCTGGTTGTTTCTGTTGTATTTCATGTTTCATTTTACACAGGGTTAGCTTTGCATTTTTTATGCATGGTTGATGCTCTACAAATGCTGTATGTTAATGGTTGCCCATGATGTTCTGGGTAACAGTGCGTGTGTTTTTCAGAAAGCATGTGAGTAGCCTGTGGTTCGGAATTAAATAAGGTAAGTTGTATGAATAAATATGACTTTGGAGATGTACGAGGCTGAATAAACTCTAGTAAAGTGCATGCATTTCCGTTTTGAATATATTTGCAACAGTTTGTAAAACTCATGTTATGATGTCATACCATTGCTTGAATTATCCTACCAGTCATGTTGTTTGTTAGCTGCTGGTGAACATGTGAACATTGATTACTGTGAAGTTTGAATGAATTATTTGGATGGAATTGATATTTATCTCCATTTATTACTAATTTACAATCATATAACAGAAAGACAAATATATATGATGTGAGCATGAACCAAACTATTCCTATCTTATTTATCAAACTATTCATATTGAAGGACCATTGGCAAAGCTTCCTCGGACATGAGATTATATTATAATGCTCCGGAGTGCCTTCTGATGGACCAGTTGTCTGAGCCTCATGTGAACCTGGCGAGTCATGACAAAGGATCTTTAAATGCGAGGGCAAGTTATTTATCTGGGCAAGAAGTGTTTGGTGATGCAATTTTGGCTGCTGTAGGGTATTCATGGAAGTCTAGTGATCTTTTCCATGAGGATGTTTCCTTGCGTACATATTATAGGTATTTCTTTGACCTCCACTATTACTTCTTGTCAACCTTATTGAATTGACTACAGTGGAAACTATTGGCCTAATAGCCTTGATAACTTCTTAGAATCTTGATCCTTGATCTAAAATACTTGTCCCCAAGGTGTTAAATAAAGCCAATCAAGTCTTCATAATCAACTTAAAGAATTCCACACAACAATGCCAAGCTTCGACACTGAAATATGCAATAACTGGCCAATGCTCAAGATCAACCTACCCTAGCAGATAACACCGTAGGTTGCTTCTGATATAAACCAAAAAAACCTAATCTTGCCTTTTGCTACCTAAGCCCCTAGACAGAGATGCTTAAACCCGGATTCTTAAGTGGTAGTTATAGGAATCTTTATATACCATGTAGACAGTCACCTGTCACAACTCACCAATGTGATGTGGCGTTGTATCCATCTTTTCAGTTTCTTATTTTAATTTCATATAGCAATTCGCTTCTGCATTGCATCAGTTATAATTAAGTTTGCAAAATTTGCACCCATTGTAGTAGTTTTTCTCCCATTCAGGTTACTTGTCCATATGATGCCTAGTGGGGTATACAAATTGTCAAGAGAAGCAATTCTTGCTGCAGAATTGCCCATGGCATTTACAACGAGAAGCAACTGGAAGGGTTCCTTTCCAAGAGAAATACTTTGTACATTCTGCCGTGTTCACCGTTTATCTGAACCTTTGTTTGAGTCATCAATTGATTTATCTGGATCTTGTAAGAAGTCGAAGGTTCAGTCAGTTAAAAAAGATACAAATGGAGCTCCAGTCACTAGTAGTTGCGGGAAATCAACAGGAACCATTGGAGATTTTAAATGTGAAATAAAGATATTCTCCAAACGTCAGGAATTGATTTTGCAGTATAAACCAAAAGAATCTTATAAGAAGCAAACTGATGCCATGCAGAGTTCTGCTTTGAAAGTTCTTTTATGGTTGAACACGTTTTTTGAAAACCCAGATATGACCACAGAGACATTGAGCTCTTCAGCAGAGAAACTTGGAATTCAGTTTTCTCCTGATATCTTTTCCAAGAAGTTCATGTTTTGTCAGTCTGTTCATAAATTTGGTAGCACTAGGCATCAATCCAGCAAGCCAATAAATTATAGTTGCATCAATCAACCAAATAATATAGTGAGTGATAAAGCATGTTCTATATGCGGTGATAACTCCGAAATTACTCCATCGAACGGTTCTTTAGCCTGTGTAAGTTATAGCATTTCTTTGGTTACAGAAGGAGAATTTTTAAAAGAACATATTGAAAGTAGTGAAGCGTTTGAGTTTGAAATAGGAAGTGAAGCTGCCATATCTCGTCTTGAAGCAGTTGTGACACAGATGTCAGTTGGTCAGTCATCATTTTTTAATATGGAGTTGCCTCCCCAAGAATTTATTTTAGCAGCGGCTGGTGATTCTGCTGCTACTCAGTCATTATTGTCTTCGAGTAAGAATTTCACATATTTCTACTTGATTTGATTGTACTTCTTGGTATCACTTCCATTTTATCTTCTTCTTTTGTAGGAAGGTGTATTTTGGAGTATGCTGTAACTCTATTGCAGGTGACAGAACCCTTAGAAGAGAGGATGGAGCAAGCTTTGTTCAGCCCATCTCTGTCAAAGCAGCGTGTTGAGTTTGCTGTACAACATATCAGAGAATCTCGCGCTGCCTCTTTGGTATAAGCAAATATATTCATAATGATCTCTGATGCCTGATGTAGAGTTGCGATTAATCTTTAGTTTCATTGCAGGTTGATTTTGGTTGTGGCTCTGGAAGTTTACTCGATTCTTTATTAGACTATTCAACTTCTCTGGAAAAGATTGCTGGTGTTGATATTTCAGGAAAAGGTCTTGCACGAGCGGCAAAGGTCACATTTTCATATGCAAATCCTAATTCTACCTTTTTGTCACCCTATCATCAAATTTTAATGTTTTTTCCTCGACTTCTGTTCGAGATACTGATTCTCACTATTTAGTTGGTAGGTTAATTGCCTGAGGGGTGCAAATAATGAACCCCTTAGTATACTTGTCAAGTATCTGAAGCTGCTTCTTGCCATTAGCTGCAATAGTTAGAAACATGGCTGAATGGCTAGACCTGAATGGTAAATAAATTATGTTATTAATTAATCAATCTGAATTTATATTTTATTCAACAGTTAGAAACCGGATAATGGGGTGCAAAATTTTTCGTCTATTGTCTTCAGAAAGTAATGTAGTAATTGTCGAGGAATTTTCATTAATTTACAGCATTCTAGATGTCAGATATTTGTGTCTTGTTTCTAACATCATAAACTTGGTACAATCAAAATGTCGATTAATTATCCCCAAAGGACCCTAGATTGTCCCGAAGTTTACAGTGTGTGGCATAAATTGTGAGGGGGTGCCTCCTAAAATTGCAGTTGCTTTCAGTTTTTGACAAGGTGTTTTAATTTTGTATATATTGTGAATGGAACTCGCATATGATAGACTAAATTCCTGTAATCTTTGTTATATTTATGATTGATTCAAGCAACTTCTTTGTAGTGTTCATTATCCTTCTAAACACTAATACTTGGTAGCCATTAAATTTCTTTCTTTTATCTATTCAGACACTTCACCCAAAACTGAACAGAAATTCTTCTGCTGAGGTACCAAGTAATGAAACCAGATCTGTGCTGCTATACAAGGGATCCGTCACAAATTTTGATTCTCGGTTGTATGGATTTGATATCGGAACTTGCTTGGAGGTAATGTTGTCTTCGCTAGTTCACCTCATACTTCAACTGATTGTTTTTCCAGTGATTTCTTTTCTCTCGTCTCTTGATTACTTGGTGTTTACCATTTTAGATTAATCAGTTTTGCAATAAATTGAGGCTGGCATTGTTGTTATCTCCACTATTCTTTGATAATCATCTGAATACATGTTTTGATGTTTATTTTACCAGTACTTTTCCATGCTACATAACTGTTTTGTTTAATTGATGGGTTGAAATATGACATTTGGATGAACTATAGGTCATCGAACATATGGAGGAAGAAGACGCAAGTTTATTTGGTGAAGTCGTGCTCAAGTCTTTTTGTCCAAGGATTCTTATTGTCTCCACCCCGAATTATGAATACAACTCGATTCTGCAGAAATCAACTTCCTCAGGCCAGGAGGATGATCCAGATGAAAAGAACAAACCTAAATTCCGCAACCACGACCACAAATTTGAATGGACCAGGGCACAGTTCAATCATTGGGCGTCCGACCTTGCTGAAAGACATAACTACGATGTTGAATTCAGCGGAGTTGGCGGAAAAGCTGATGTGGAACCTGGATTTGCTTCCCAAATTGCAATCTTTAGAAGAAGAGATTCTAGTTTGAAGAATGTCGAGTTAGAACACCATTACGAGTCTATTTGGGAGTGGAGTAGCGATAACATGTAATGTCTGCCATATTGAAAACCTTAGTGCTCGCTACTGCATTCCGATGATGTATTAGAGATTTTTGTTTTGAAGTAAAAATATGGGGCTGAGTCAAGTTTAAATGTTAGTTGATAATATCGTATAATTATCACTTTAATATGCCCGTATTTTCCTCCATACAAATCCATTAGTCTGCGTGAAAAGCTTAAAACTACACAAGTAAGAATGATAGAAACCCTACACTACGACTAATGAGAACTAGGAAGAAACCCATGTAATAAAATTACATAATTCTCATGAAAAATTCTTTTAGAACGAAAGTATAAATCATAACTGTGAGGACCCGAGTGCTTTAATTCATCTTACAAAGGAAGTCTTCTACAAGTATTTTGAATGAAAAAACTGAGGAAAAACTGACCATTCTGAACCATCTGGGAAAGGTTTCAAAGCATCTTGATTCCCGTTAACATAGTAATCGACAACTGCTTTCATTCTCGGAAACTTATCGGGGGTGATAATTTAAATGAACTATTACCGGCTTAAGCTTGCTGAGTGTAGAGTCTTTCCGTACGATATTGAAGAGAACCTTGCTGTTCATGAAGAGAAAGTAATACATAGTTCTTCGAGAAACATGAAGTCCAACATAGCCAAGATGTGATGGGAAGAAAAGCTCCTCGTTGAAGACTTCTTGGTCCCAAGCATTCTCTCTCAAGAGTCGACCAGCTACACGATCTAAAAGCTCTATTGAAGGGATTGTTGGCCTTTATGTAAAAGAACCCGGAATTGTATGCCCATATCCTCATTTTATGTGCATATCTTCCCCAACCCATTTGGGGTTCGTGGAAAACGTCAACGAAGCCATAAGCTGTCATATTATTGTGACCCTTAGTCATGGATTCCACATCTGAGTCTCTGTAAAGATGATCAAAAGGGTTTTGCAAGTACACAATGTCANTATTATTGTGACCCTTAGTCATGGATTCCACATCTGAGTCTCTGTAAAGATGATCAAAAGGGTTTTGCAAGTACACAATGTCAGCATCCGAGAGAAGAACGCTATAACCTAGCTGCAAGAACTCCCTCAAGACCCGGAATTTCAACCCTGAGACTTCATGATTTCCTCTGGTCCTCCCTACGGAATCTATTCCTTCATCCGGGTCTCATTTATACACTGGAACATCTTTTGAGTGGCACAATTTGGCAATATCATCATCCAAAGCAACAACCAAATAATTAGGTATACCCACTCTCTTGATGTTTGTGAACGAGACATCCAACATATCCCTTGCATTTGAATTTGCCAAAGCAACAATAAGTTCTCGCTTGACAGCCACTTTCTCCAATATCTTGGCCAGTCTTGGGTTGACCGACTCATCAGGTACGACGTTAGGATTGGTTCGTACACCCTTAACAGTGCCAAAAGGCCCGGCCTTCAGCTGCTCATCCAACACCAGCACCTCTTTCTGTGCATTATCTTTCCCTTGTTCACCCAAATAAAGCTTCTCTACATTCTATAAACTCCGATTCTAACATGTTACTGCATTCTGATGACTCGCATGACGAGTAAGCACCTAATAAACACATAATTAATGGCAAAAATGAGTTTATGGCCTAATATTTATGCATCAAGTTTTCCCCAATTGGCCATAATAGTTTCTGCACCCAAAGATTAAAAAAAATAAAAATCAAAAGTTGGAAGACAGGTGCAATCATTCATCAAAAAGGTTTGCAAGCAATCATTCATCAAAAAGGTTTGCAAGTCTTTAACATTATTTTGGTCTAATATTCCTTCATCTTAAGCGCGGCTAGGCTTATGTTCCCTCCACATGTACTTGTCAATATTTCTATTAATATTTTATTTAAAAAGAAAAAAAGGATCCTATGTTACCAATTGAATACCACACTAATTCATTCAAGTAGTAATTAGGAGCATTCAAATTTTATCTTCACTCTTAGGCCTGTTAATATCAAAGACTGATTTAATATGGTTCAGCAATGTATAGTTTCTCCAGTACAAACTTAGGACTCATGATCTTACAGCTTCCAAAATTTCTCCAGTTTTTTAAGAACTGTTAATTCTTATTCCATGTTAACAATTCTGAGTATCAATCTTGAACTACGAAGAACACTACTATATACATGCAAAACAGGGGCGGAGCCCAAGCATGTCTACTGCGGGCATTTGAACTTCTGGGCCAATTTTTTTTTTTTTTTTTTTTTTTTTTTTTTTTTTTTTTTTTTG